CCCTCTCCATTTAGAATGCCGTTTGGCATGCCCTTTTTCGGAAGATTTTTCGGTAGTGGGCATTCGTAACGGTCTTTGAACGCGTTTTACGCCATATCTTGGCCATTCGACACGATAAGGACATAAGCCTGCCACCTTCCTATGGGCCAAAGATTACTTTCAATAAGGAAGCCATCAAATCCACTTCAGTTTCAAACATGACTTCGGACTTTCGAACAAGATAGAAGAGCTTTTTTCGGTCTCGATTTCTTGCCGATACCCTGGAGTCCGACAAAACCCATTTTAGCTTGTAAACTTCTCCTATATTCTGCTATTTACCTCCTTTATAGGTTTCTCCAAGGTTGCACGCAACTGCTTATTCTATTATATAACATTATCAGCACCCTCAACAGCCCCTTCTGATCTTAAAGCCCATTTGTCAAGGTTTACGCGGCACATGTTCTTCTACATCTCGAGTTGCTCTTATCCACATGTTTCTCAGGTTGAAAGAATATTTAGCTAGACGTGGGCGACAGTGCTGCTTCTAAGTGGAAGAATGAGTGTAAAGGAAAGGACAAGGATAGGGCACTGAGATGGTATGAGGATGTCTAATTGCCACAGCTTCCACTATTATGCATCAATTGAAATGAGGGTTAATCGAGGGACGGAGCAGAATATTGGATCCCATGAATTGGTGTCAAAAACAATTACTACAACCCTGCAAAGCCCATCGAAAACTAGCTGAACTTCTCCAAAAATCGCCGCCGTAGACAGAGTAGAAAGCCACAGGGTCGCTGCACATTACGAATGTGCTGTAGAGCCTATTCAACACTCTTGAAAGTAATGACCACCGCATTTTTGATGCTCGACATGTATGTAACATCCATCCACATTCGTAGGAACACATTCTCACAAAACAAATAAATAATAAAAAATGATGAATTTCTTCCGCCTTCACCAATCCTCTGCTTCGATGCCCTCCCCGCCCCTCCCCACCTATTTGGCTTCCATTCAGAATCGTTGTGGTGTATTGGATGCGTATGAAACCGATACAGTGTCTTGAAGTTTGGTACCAATACCGACCTCAAAGGGATGGAAGGCTTCGTTGGCCTGGGTGGATATCGGTCAAAGATTCGGTCCCCTGGCCATGTGTGTGTGATAGTGGGTCACTTGCCACTAAACCACACTCGCTAATATTAGTAGTTCTATCTAGTTATATCGATACAAAGACGTAAAAAAGCCATTTCAGTGGAACCGAAAAGATTGTTCGTTTTTGTTCATCTTTCATCAGTTTTTACTGCATTTAATTTCTTTGAGACACGGGAAACTCACATTCCATCAATCCGTTGAACAACTTGGCAGACCACCACCGCTGCACGGATGTGATTTCGCATCAGATCAAACACGAGTTTTTTTGCGAAGTTCCACCCAGTCGGTGTCTCGTCGCGGGGTAGACGATGCTCAGATTTGTGAATTTCTTCAAAACGACCATTCACGAATAAAATTGCTCTCACATGTACCTCTGTAAGACTTTTGTCAATGCCCGAAAAAGGAAAAACCTAAGAAGCTCCCCAACCTTCAGCATCAGGGTCGATTCGAAGATTAGTAGCTGTGCAATTCGTAATCAGAAGACGTTGAGCTGTTGGGAGGTAAGTTAGCGAAAACTCTAGCTCTCCCAGATCCTGCAGAGATGATTTTTCATAAGGACAACTAGAAAATACTGCAATCTTCACTCACAGGAGTAGAAATGGTCATCGGTATTTCGAATTCGCGAAATCGCTCTATAGGATTTGTATCAAGCCAGTACTCACATTCGGCTATCGTAACCTGTATTAGTGACATCATACAAATTGATTCAATTGCTATTTTCTTCAGGTCACCGCACCTCATGGTCATCCCTGGAGACGTCACAAAAGTCGATTTTTATCAGAGTGCTATGAAAAAGCTGCTTTGGTATCTGACAAGTGAAGAACTCATTGAATACGGTAGTTATACAACGGGGTACTGCCAAAGTTCGAAACGGTGTTGGCTCATGAGTGAGCATTTCCTGGAACATACATGTTTTACTTATGTCCCGTGTATGTCATGACGATGTGCTTGGCAGAGCTCTCTATCCTCCGCTACCGTTTCACGAACACTCTCATCGTGCTATCGCAGCTGTGCTCATCTGCCAATGTACAGGAAGAAGTTTGGTGCCTACAAAGTGGGTGGCGAGTTTGGTTCAAAATTAGGTTCACGGAAGTGGAAATGACTCAAGCAGCATGGGAGCCCTCTTCAAATAAGTCCTCGGGTAGCGTGTGAATCTCTAAAGTTTCAGTCTCTCCCGAAAATTAATTAGCGATATCCGGTGGTGGTGGGGACCTTACATTTTGAAACCAGAAAGTTGATTAGCCCCTGGTAAACAATTGCTTTCAAGCAAAAGGGAAGGATGGCATGAGTGGAGATTATTTAGTAGGTTTGAGATGGCTCATTGTACCTACTGCCATTAAAGGCACTAACATTAGTCAGGTATCAACCCCATTTCCCTCCACATCGACGTCTACCATCTACACCTCTCGAAGGGGTGTTCTAGAAAGCCCTTGACGACGACCACGTCACTAATAATCGGGACCATTATGGTGTAGTGAGCCGATCTAAGCATGAGGGGTCAGCGATCTGAGCTTTCTTGGAATTTCTCTTCCATTTTGTCCGATTCTAACGCTCATAATTCACAATTTTCCAAAACAACTGAAACCTCAAAGAATTTGTCATGAAAAACATTCTCCAATAGAGCGAAGCATGTATTTAGCATTTTACTGACCCAATCATTCCGAGTTTTTGTCTGAAGCAAAGTGGTGAGCACATTGCCGTGACATACGCAGGTAGCGACGCAAAAGCAACACAGTAAATAGGGCATAACGTCATTTAGATTAAAACTCGAGTGACCGAAGAGCTTTCAAAATCATTAGCCTACGACCTAATCACCATCATCTATTCCAATCAATCTTACCTCCCAGCTGATGGATCGTTTTCTTCCCATCCACGTTTTCCGCGTCAGCCCTTTAACGATATGCATGACCGCTTTTGAATATTTTGGATATAATGAAGGCGTGTATGGAGCATGTGATACCTAGAAAAACTCTTAGATACTATGATGTTCAGAACATTACCCTACACAAGACTGAAGGAACTTCTACTCTACTAAGATTGTAGGTTCTTGGAATTATGTCAAACAACATCTGGGTTCAATGAGAAAACTATGTGTTGGCCAACTCTGCATAGCCGTATTTGCGTAGATACGAAAAGGATGCTCGGTGACGGAACCGTGTTCCGGCCTATTTGGAAAATTTCGCAATATTTTTACACGTTTCTAAATCGCCCAAAATTTAATTTTCAACTTTTTACAGTTTTTTTTCTTGATTTGTCGATAACAAAAGGACTTTGGGAGTGGAGGTGTGGTGAGGGGCCCAACGATTGAACCACATCTCGATGCTCACGCACCAACCAAGCATTCCGTCTCTCTTGGATCCGTTTAAAGGTACCAGATGGGAGGGTAAAATTACTGACTTGAGGCTACAACAAGTCATTGTAGAGGCCAATACGCTATTAAACACCAATACAGTTATGGAAGGACTTCAAAGGAGCGAACACACTTCCAGACAAAAGTGATGGATGGTAAAGAACCTGCGCGTTCATGCTCTGATCAGAATTTTCTGGAATCCTGAACCGGCATCCCTTATTTTGGCTTCTCTTAGGATAAAGACGAATACAACAGAGGAGCCTACTCGAGACGACCACAAGTCTGAAGGCTCCTGAGTACTAAGAGCTTGCCTTTTGCAAATATCGCATGTTGAGAGTTGTTGGGAAAGGCAGAGTTCTCGATAGAAGGCCTCGTAAAGGTGCAGATATGCTAGGATAGGCACTGGTAGCACCACTTCGAAAACTCCCTAATAATGGAGTGAGTAGGATTGAAAGAATTTCAGCAACGCTCCTTCCAAAAGAGCCGCTCCCAAATAGCTTCATCATTCAGGTATCAAAGGATTTTACTCATTTACGAAAAAGTACAATAGAACTGCAATGGTAGCAACGAAATAAATGTTTACAGTACTGACGGTAACGATAGATATCATGTTATGTCAACAGGGAAAAAATCATTGGAACACTCAATCCTTGTTGTTTTCCCGGTCTATTTTCCAACGTCAATTTCAGAATCAGAAGGATGTTCCACTAATTTACCCCTGATCGCCTTCATTTTCAATTCCAAGCACGCTACCCACATCCTCCCATGCCTCCCATGTGCCTACCCAGAATGAGCGTTTAAAAGCGGTTGAGAACTTGCTATTTCCTGGAGAATCTCGAAGGTGACGCATGGTTTCCATACTTAACCAGAGCAAGAGAGTTCCCCGGCACTGTACAATACCGAAACCTCTAGGATTACGCGAAAAATGAGATTCACCTACCCTTCTGATGTAGAAGTTGAACGTTTCCTGTGCTTCAATATACTCAAAGGCAATAGTAACTGTAGGTGTTTTGGGTTCCTGCAACGACGAAGCTTTTCTACAGAATTCTTCGAGAAAGTACGAGATAACCCAACTCACATCATCTAGTTCGTCGAAATCGGACATTGTGTTGTCGACAATGAGAATCAGGCTCCAACACGATCAATAGCCGTGTCGAAGCGATCGCCATTGTGCATTCAGCTGTGACGTGACGTTTTATGAGAACACCGCATAAATCTGCCATTAGGACTTCAGGAAAAAATTGAAACTTCCCTGCTATTTTTGCTATTTTCAAACCTCTACCCCCCCCCCCTTCCTTGGAGCAGTTGCCCTTCATCTCCCGGTACTCATCAATACCGGTGTGCGATGCAACCATTGAGCTTCACGCGCAAGATGAACCCGTTATCACTAGGTGCAGCCGCGCATTTGACTTCCACTAGAATCGTGGTGATGATTGGATGCTTGCTAGGTCTGTACAACAAATAGCTGTAGTCAACCAATGTACGGCTCAGTACTTCATCCTTCTCACGAGTACAGTGCCAACTGATAGATGTTGTATGAGGGGTAGAACGCTCGGCTTCTTGGGCAGATATCGATCCGAGGTTTGAGTCCTGTTATATCGTGCGGTAGTGCTACCATATTGCTATAACCTACCTAGATCTCCATCCAGTCCCAATACAACGAATTCATAGCTTAATTTAATCGGTAAGGAATCTAAGAGGAAATTAAAGGAAGGCCTACAGCCTCTAATTATTCATGAAAAACACAGTAGAATCGAAATGACAGCAGTGAATTTAATGTTTCTAGAAGAAAACGATCAATCAGATTTTATGGAAAAGGAATAAATCAAGTGTTCGGTAAAAATAAACAACAACAAAATAAACAATAAAATAATTAAATAATCCTCAAAAGAGCTAGGTAGCACTTGGACTGAGGGCAGCCTGGGTCGGGCTTGCACAGTGACTGAGATCGATTTCTCTGAGATCAAGGAATTTCGCATCTACTTGAGGAATGACCTTCTTACGACAGATTTGCCTGAAAAAAATTTAACTATTACTCTGTGCATCAAATGGCCTTCAATTGACATTTTGTAATATGTTCTATACCCAAATAAATTATTCCTTGCTATTTTGCCAATGAGTACTAAGTTAGGGCATGAAGAAGAAAATCTTTGCTGCTTGTTGCCATATTTGACATCAAAATCCCGAAATTGCTGAGTTGTTTTCTATTCCCACCCCACTGCAGTTACGAAGAATTCCATTTGTTTGATTCAAAACTGGGGTGCGGTCCAAGCCTAAAAGAACGAGAGATGGGCTGATGGCCAACAGCACCACCTTATGCCGAAGCTTCGAACGGACAGTTTCGAAAAAACATTCAGTTCACCCCCACCTCCTCATGAACTTCTTACTAGGAGTGCAGTACCGTCAATTCGTCGTCGAATGTGGTACAAGACGTGATTGCACAACGAACTTTTTACCAGACGCTTAGATGAAGATTTTCGAAGTTGTTCGGCTATAATTATAATTTCTATTGGTATGCACGATTTCAATCAAATTTGATAGAAACTAAAAGGTCGCTGAAAAAGATTAATTACTTTGATGAATCCTGAACCTATGATGAACTTTTGGGCAATCTATTACTCTTTATAGCCCACATGGTTTCGAGTTTACCCAATTTTTTTCAACACTGCATCGCTTCGCTATTTTGTGTTGATGTAGATGCGATTTGAACGTATTACGCTCAATTTTACTGTTTTAATTCGACTCAAGTTTGTTTAGAATATGGATGTAGACGACTTATTTGGAGCTTTTGAGTCAGTCGGTAATGGGGGAGAGACGTCTTCTGCCACTGTAAATCACATGGATAAAATGACTTCAGTTAGTTTTCTTCAGTTTAGAACCTTGTACTGTTCCAAATCTTTGAAATTGCATGCATTATGATCCACTACAATTCTAGCTAGACGCTGCGCGTCAGGAAGAAGCACGAAAACAGGCAGCAAATCTTCTGAACGCCATGTTGCAAGGGGAGTGTGGGGACTCAGTTGAACCAGCACAAAAGAAGGTAATGTCGTTGAAGCACAGAAACGTCTGTGCGTACCCTGGTGTGTTGACGATTTTTCATTGGATATGATTTTTCTCATCAAGTAGCTTCCAGGTAAGGCTGGATGACGACACGGTAATGGATGAGTTGAGGGAAACATTCGAAAAAAGGATTGTTGTACATACCATTCGCACAGACAATGAGAACTGTACTCACGAGGTATTACTTTTTGTTTCATAGAATCATTTTTAGGTGACTTACGTCAGAGTGTTACTCTAGATTTCCTTATATAGGTAGCATTACCTCCCGATACGCCATTCGAGCCCCTGACAGTGAGAGAAACGGCACCAGCTAAAAGCTATCCTTTTCAATTGGATGCCTTTCAAAGAGAAGCAATTATGTGCATTGAGAACAGTCAGTCAGTTCTGGTATCGGCACATACATCGGCTGGAAAAACAGTAGTGGCTCTGTATGTTTTTCTTGCCCTATTTTTCGTTCACTTCCAGCATATTTATAGAGTAAATCATTATCGCCTAGAAAGAAATTCATGATCAGCATTTAAATTAACATTGTATTTTTTCAGTTATTTTTTTTTACTGTCAATAAGTGGTGCAATCATGACGTTACAGATATGCAATCGCACAATGTCTTCGAGACAAGCAACGGGTAATATATACATCTCCTATTAAAGCTCTATCTAACCAGAAATATCGTGAGCTAGAAGAGGAGTTCGGTGATGTTGGTCTTATGACAGGTGTGTTTCAATGCATTTTGTACTCCGAAACAGGTACTGGTGTTGCAGTGACATTGAAAGCTTATATTATAGGTGACGTAACATTGAATCCTGATGCCTCATGTCTTGTGATGACCACAGAAATCTTGCGTTCTATGCTTTACAGAGGTGCTGAAGTGATGAGAGAGGTAGGATGGGTAATATTCGACGAAATCCATTACATGAGAGATAAAGGTAAGATTTGATTAGAGCGTTTGACATCACTTCTTAAATTTTTTATCGAGTTAGTAGGGGTATGGGTACATTCACCCAAAACTAGATGGGCGCGGCAAATCGCGCGGCGAAATTCGTGACGGTTTAAACGACTTTAGCGCCTATCACTGGGGCCCAAATTTAAAGCAGAGTCGATTATTACGATCATCTAACCATACTAATGTAATCTTTTTCAAGTTTGCATCCCAGTGATAGGTGTCCAAGTCGTCCTAAACGTCATGTACTTCGCCGCGCCATTTGCCGCGTCCATCCAGTTCTGGGTGAATGTTCCGCCCCCAGTTAGTAGAAGTCTATTGAGAATTTCTATTACAGAACGAGGTGTGGTGTGGGAGGAAACAATCATCCTATTGCCTGACAATGTGCATCACGCTTTTCTTTCTGCAACTATTCCAAACGCACGACAATTCGCCCGTGAGTTACAGCTAGACTTGATGCATCCAACCTTTTTTAGGCTTTGATTAAATGCATACAGAACACGCTCCTGATTTTAGCTTTGAAAAGGCAGTAGCTTTGAAACAGGCACGAGTATGTATATCAAAACTGGGTGCTTGTAAGTATGCATATAATGCTGTTGAAATGGACGCCAAGTCTTTTGCACGTTTCGCTCATGCTTTCGCACGCAGGATGACCATATTTCGCTTCAATGCAAGCATCCAACCACTTTCGGAAGTTTTCAAGAACGCGCGCAATCACTTTCATCCCATGCTTCTTTGAGAAAGCTTTTTTTACAGAGGGTCCAAAGACTTCTGTCTGGAAGCGCAGGCTTTTGCTCCAGAATCGTCCATACTCCAAAATCTAAGGGGTTGAGATCGGGGACTTTGAAGGTCGAACCTGCTGCTCCCCAAAAACACAGAAGCGTGGTTTCACAACATTGCAGCATCTTCTTTGCGCTGTGGCTGGCGCCCAATCCTGCGGAAGGTTCTGCTGACGTTTGTCGCGTTCCTTTCCGCCCAAGGCGTCACCGCATCCTCCAGCTCAGAAGCCCATAAGTTGATTTTTTTTATTGCCCGTCACACTTCATGTGGGTCACCCTGTACACTATTATATGTTATTATGAACAGCTTCGATCTTCTATAGTCAAGCAAGTAGTTTTCTGTAGAAGTGAATCCACCTCGCTTCGTTTCAGAGTGGGTATGTTTGCTGCACAGGCAACCCGTACATGTTGTGTATACGGACTATCGCCCAACACCACTCCAACACTTCATTTTTCCTGTTGGTGGTGAAGGTTTATATGAAGTGGTCAACATACAAGTAAGCCTCTTGTGGTTGCTAACTTGAAGTAGTCGCTTTTGTAGTAGTTGTTGATTGTATAGGGTCAATTTCGTGAGGATAAGTTTATGCAAGCAATGAGTGGATTAGCTGCAGTCGGCGATAAAGCTGCTGGAGGTGTACAACGTGGTCGTAAAGGTGGCATGAAAAGTAGGTGTGCACCTTCCTAAATTGTTCTCTTTTGATGCAGTTATGAATGAAGTTCGGAAAAATGACCTCTGATTTCAGCGGATTCTAATGTCGTGAAGATTATACGTACAATCAAAGAGCGTGATATGCTACCTTGCATAATCTTTTCCTTCAGCAGGAAAGAGTGTGAAGCTTATGCACTTTCACTCAAGGACATGGATTTCAATGATGGTAAAAATAATTTTCTAGTGAATGGCATTTTTTCGGTTTCATTCGGACTCATGTGTATACTATCTCATAGAAAGTTAATGAGTACTGGTTTTTTCATCTTGGCGCGTTCCGAAATACCTGACAGTACTTCGCTTTCACTTCAGATGAAGAAAAGAAACTGGTACGTGAGATCTTCAGCAGTGCTATTGATCTCCTCGGTGACGAAGACAGAAAACTCCCTCAAATTGGGCAGGTACTCCTTTGATGTTTTCTGTGGTGCTGCGATGACTCAAACAGTTCAAAATTCATTCATTAAAGATTCTTCCCTTGTTGTTGCGTGGAATCGGTGTGCATCATTCTGGACTGTTGCCAATACTCAAAGAAACTGTAGAGATATTATTCGGAGAAGGTCTTCTGAAGGTTGTAATGTCACTGTTATATTGAATTTGCATCAATAAGACTTCTTGTTACAGACGCTGTTTGCGACTGAAACGTTTTCTATGGGTCTGAACATGCCAGCAAGGACAGTTTTGTTTACATCGGCGCGGAAGTTTGATGGTGTCGATAACAGGTCAGTCATATCCGAAAGGATGCATTTCTAGAGAGTTTGCCAGGTCTTCCCTTATTTCAGATGGATAACCTCCGGTGAATATATCCAAATGTCTGGGCGAGCTGGACGACGTGGTAAAGATGACCGTGGACTTGTTATTCTGATGGTTGACCACAAAATGAGTAGCGAAGACGCTAAGCAAATTATTAAGGTACTTTTGAGTCACCTATGCTCTTCGGCTAGGGTTAATATGCTTCTATTTGTCGCCTAATCTCCGATAACCTGAACCACTTATCAGATCATGCTTCTTGAAGCCAACTTTTTTCAAAAAAGTTTTGTCACCCACCTAATCTCTTTTCATTGACAAAACGAAAAGATGATCTCTTGAAAGCAAAGTAGAATTTCGCAACGACTCTCAGTTTTTTGTATTGTCAGCAGGGCTTGTTATATATCGCTTAACAACTTTTTTACAGGGTGCAACGGATCCTCTCAACTCACAGTTTCGCCTCACATATAATATGGTTTTGAACCTGCTTCGGGTCGAAGGAGTCAATCCAGAATTCATGCTGGAACGATCCTTTTATCAATTCCAAAATTACGATGCTATACCGGAGCTGCAGCGAAGTTAGTTTCGAAGTTCTATACGCATTTATCTGGAAATTATGACTTATATTCGTATAGTTTATCAATTTCTTACTTTCTTTTGTTACTTTTTTTGCTATAGATATAAGTATCGCTGGATAGTCAACTTGTACCTTTGATCTTTATTTTTTGAATATCTCCAGAGGTCGATGAGAAGATGATAGAAATTGATAATACGCGAGTGGAACGTGAGCGAGAAATATCAGCCTATTTCGACATGGAGAAGCAGGTAGCACTTCCATCATTTTAAGTCTTTTTGTACCTCTACCATTCTTGATTTGAAGTTTGAGGGATTAGTACTCTCCTTTTTGGACTACTCACTTCCAGATCGCAAATCTAAAAACGACTATTAAGAAGACTATATGTATGCCGAAATACCTAGTTCCCTTCCTTCATGCTGGAAGAATGATCCATGTAGGGTTTATTTTGTATAGTTGCTGTTTTGCTGTTCAATTGAAACATTGCTACAGTCATATTCTTCAGGTGGTAGCTGGTACTCGTGACTTTGGTTGGGGAGTTTTGATTAATTTTCATAAAAAAGTTAACGTCGACGATAATACGCAAATGGTCTACATTCTGGATGTAATTGTTTTGTTTTTTAACTTCCATTCACGTAAAAATCATATACGAATACCATTCAGGTTTTCATGGGGTTCAAAAACGATGGCTTCGAGGAAAATGTCGGTCTGACACGTTTGCAACCAGCTACCGAAGATGCACCTGTACGTTCAATTCATTTCTAAGTTTTCATCACCATACTATCAACTGTTTCTATTCTATATCGTTTTTCCACTTCTGAGTACAGAGTTGCCCGAGGCCACCAAACTAATCCGTTTAAAGCCTTTTTTACTTCAAACTGATTACAAGTGAGCAACAAATCTTCCCAGGAGTCTTCGTTTTGAATTTTAGGCGTCATGGGAGACTTTCTGAGTACAGAGTTGCCCGAGGCCACCAAACTAATCCGTTTAAAGACTTTTTTATTTCAAATTGATTACAAGTGAGCAACAAATCTTCTCAGAAGTCTTCGTTTTGGACTTGTAGGCGTCATGGGAGACTGTACCAATAGCCCTAGATTGCGTTGAGGAAATTAGCGCAGTTCGGTTGAAGCTTCCGCAGAAGTTGGATTCCGCCCATTCGAAAGGTGTTGTTCAACAGATGGTGAAAGTGAGTTTATTGCTCAAGCTCCAGCTACTTTTCATTTAATATGATTGTAATGGAAATACAGAGGAGGGTAAATCTAAGCTGTTGTTTGCTCTTCGTTTCAGAGTGTCTTGTCACGATTTAATAAGAATGTTCCACTACTTCATCCTGTGAAAGATATGCGTATTTCTGAGCCTGCACTCGTTAATGCTGTTGAAAAAATTGCTGATCTGGAGCAACGCAGTCAAGAACACCCACTGCGTAAACTGAGGGAGTTCGAAGATATCAAAAAGCAGTGGCTTGCTAAGGTTTGCTGAGTTAATCTTTTCAATGTTTCAGTATCTCCTGAGTAATAGTTTTGGGAAAAGGTGAGAGGATTTGCCGCCGAATTGAACTTTGCACCGGCTGCCATAACTTTTGTTGAGGACTGGTTCATAAATCAAAGTTTAGGACCAAGCCAAGAAAGAACATCGGAATTTACGTGAGGAATTACGTAAAGCGCAATCTGTTCTACATATGGAAGAGCTCGGTCAGAGGAAGCGGCTACTGCGCCGTCTTCAGTACGCTGATAACTCTGACATAATCACTGACAAGGTTTGTAAACAAATTGTTTGCTTATTTTCTATTATTGAGATATTAAGTTTTTTTGGAAATCTTATATCACAAGAAGAACACGTCCTCATGTAGTATATAAGGGCTAATTGACTTCGACAACTCCTCCTTCTGAATCATAGCATGGAACCTTGTTTTTTAGGGTAGCATTAATTTTTTATCCCTGTCAATAGTTGATTATTGGGAGATCTGTTGTTCCTTAACAAGGTGCATCAACATTCTTTAAGCAGTATTGTAGCCTAAACGACGTTTCCCACTTGGTCGGTCAAACCTCTTAACGAAAATCAAAAGAAGCGGTTAAGTACGTCATGATGTAGTATCATGTTGTTTCGAAAATGAGGTCCTTTTAAACTCTGTATACCATTTTCTTAGACTTTGAGCGGCTGGGGAAAACGTGTTCCGTAGCTTTCTAAAGCTTCTATGTCGCTTTTCCCCAATGACAATGGTTGTCTTACTTTCTATGGGTGCTTTCATGTAGCTCTTCATATTCCCTAATTCTCTTTGTTTCTCTAATTGTTTCTTTAATTTTCTGATCCTCTTTGTTGCAGGGACGCTGCGCTTGCGAATTGTCTGCTTCAGATGAGTTGATGCTTACGGAAATGTTGTACGCTGGTGTGTTCAGTGACCTGACTTCAGCTCAAGTCGCGGCACTTTTGTCTTGCTTTGTTTTCGAAGTCAGTATTTGTTTCCGTTTGGTTTCTCTTTGGAACCCGTAATTCTATTTCAAATCTAATTCGTACCGTAAATCACTTCAGTAAAATGGAGTTTTTAGGAGAATGCGAAAACTCCGAAACTGGCCGAGGAATTATCGGGTTGCCTTCGAAAACTTCATGTGAGTGTATTTTCTACCTCAATGATTTATGAACATGGTCTTCAGATGGCGCTACCGTACTAGTAGAGCGGCCTTCTTTTTGTATTCCCATCTGCTGTTATCCCACCGCGGACGCCGCATCTTATTTATGCGAATCGCGTTCCGGTTACGATCCACTTCATTTCAGCTCGGACAGTTTTGTTTTTGCACTCTATCGCGATACCGTAAATATATCCATACACGACTACCGTAGGAATCTCTCCACAGGGTGCCAGTATGTCTGGTTAAAACATATGAATGACGACTCTGTTTTGCGCATAACTCGCTTTTAGAGACAAATGGGAGTGTTCCATTTGTACCCCGCGTGTTGTTAGCTAGCTTTGACATCATGTGTTCCTCAATTATTCTTGATGAAGAGGCACCAATGGAATGAATGACGTTTCTTCTACCTTACAGGAACACGCTCGTCGTATTGCAAAGCTAGCAATAGAGTGTAAACTGGAAATAGTTGAAGACGAATATGTGGAGTCCTTTAAACCGGGAATGATGGACGTCGTTTTCCAGTGGGCAAACGGTGCATCTTTTGGCGAAGTCATGAAGAATACAGATATTTTCGAAGGTATGTAATTGTTTTTAGACGGTCCCAACATTGATTTTCCATGGGCAACTGAACAGCTAATGCCGCTAAGGAGTGTTCCCAGTAACTGGTTGCGGCTGTCTCAAGGCTGCGCAGTGTTGTGGATACCGAACTGTCAGTTAACCTTATAATGTGCCGCTCGTGGCCAGACCTCCTGCTGGGTTCGCACTACATTCATTTGTTGTCAGTGATGAATTGAAACGTGATTTTAAGATCGAACAATAGAACCGATTGATTTTACCGTCGTTGTGGAGATTTAGGTCATGATTTTGAGTCGATCAGATCAGTTACGTCCATGAAATGTTAACCAGTTTCTGATACGATGTTAGGAAGAAGCTTATACTATGATGCACCGCGCAAGTAGATAATATCATTTATTTACCAATATTTTAGGCTCTATCATTCGCTGCCTCCGTCGGCTCGAAGAGGTACTGAGGGAGATGGTGAATGCGGCTAAGTCGATGCAAAATCAAGCGTTGGAAGAAAAGTTCGAAGACGCTCGCGTTCGGATCAAGAGGGACATAGTGTTTGCAGCTTCGCTCTATCTCTAGGTGATCCATGTTCTCTCTCTATCTCAGGAATTGAAGCGCTTGATATCATTAGCTGTTGTTCGCTCTCTGTCCCCGGTCGAAACTCGCAATCCGGGTCGTGTTTCCTTTGTTTCACTTTTCGCTATCCTTTTTTTGTTTCTTTTTTCAGTCCCCAGCAGTTAGTTTACTTCTAAGATTTTCCTATTCTGAAATTGTTGTTTCTCAAAGCGCATTGTGGTCTCATTGGCTGTTGCCATTTTTTTCATTCTCTTGTACTAATGTGTACATGTTGTTTCAGTAGTAATGTACATCCGTAAATTGTTACTGCTTGTTCCAATCCTGTTACTTAGCTGTAAGGCTCAAGATTTGCCTGGTATGTTGATTCTTGTTATTTATTGAATAGTTGTTGAAAATGAAGATATAACGAAATGGTCTTTGAACCGTAGACGTTTTCTTATTGCAAATATTGTGCTACTCTAGTATGGGGATTTACAGTAGGATTACCTTGTCAATTATAAGAGCCTCTTAATGAAGAACAGTAGGAAAGAAGATTCCTCTCGTCCCATGAGTTGCATAAAATCAGAAGGAAAAAGATGTCGTTTACATCATGAATGTGGCTGATCTACATTGAGCTAAGCCGCAAAAGATTCATACAGTCATGATTCATTTGCTTAGGTGTCAGCATGAGCTTCTAAATTCGAATTGAACTCTTGCAGCTATGTATTATAATAACCCTTCTTCGATTTTTTTTTTTTTGCTTATATCTGGTTTTCAAGGTTGAGTCAGATTGGATCGGTGCGTGACTTTCTGATAGGGCTTTTCCTTGGAATATACAAATTGTAATCTCACCCTCACTTGTAGGGTGGTCAAGTAGTTTTAACAAACAGGTGCTTAGAGTGTCTTGTTCGGACGTTGAGGACTTGATCAGCTTGAGGTGCACTACTGTTATTACGAGAGCGGAAATTCGCTACAGGTCCAAGCTTGTACCGTAATCCTCCTGCTGCTTTAAAAGCATACTAGTCATGAAACAGCCCATCTCAGCTGCAAAGTTGTAGTGTGAAGCAATGGGGAGATAGCAGTAAGAAGTTTGATCAGTACAAGGCCGTTAGTACAAGGTCGTTACTGTCTGAGCGTGACTTCTCTTTGCCGCTGCTTGTACAATGTGGCCAGTTGAGGGTTATCGGTGTCAGAAAGTACACAGAAAGCTTGCAAAATGAATTGTAATCAATTCCAGAGATCGTTGACATTGGTTCTGAGTTAGAGCCATTCGATGTGCCACTAGTGGATTTAGAAAAGGATGCGAAACCCGTGACAACACTTAATGAACAATGTAAACGTTTTGTAAATCATTACAGGTAAGTGACCGGACTGAGGCTTACCCTTCATCCCCATAAAGTCCACTAAAATCCCTTTCCCTCATTAGGTATTATTGTCGGACGTCGAATCTCGCCATGTATAACGAGGAAATTCGGATCATTTGTGAGCGATACCGTACCTATTGTTCGGATCGAGTGTATCCGTCTGTCAACCATGTTTGTCCCTTTTTTCTTTTCTTTTTTCAAGGCCATTCTTTCCAAAAGGCATAGAGTGTTATGTTTACAAAATTTAAATCTTATTTCTGCCAGATACGAAGGCAACTTGCCTATTGGAAACACTCTGGTCTGCCTGTTGGTGCTCAACAAGCGCTCACTACTTGTTATGCGCGCTGCAAAGAAACTGACCCTGTGTAAGTAACCCTCGGTATTCATTCTTAAAAAGCCAAGTTAACCAACTCGATGAAGCATTAGCGGTAAAGTGCTACGCTGATCTGTTTCCAGACCTTCAGAGACTTGTATTTCTGTTCAGAAGTCTACTTCTTCGTTGTAGTGCATGTATACTCCCATTGTAGTCTCCCAGGGAACAGTTCAGATAAAAACAATGTTTTGTTCTAGATGTATTAATGCTTGTGAGTGCATTCATCTGCAGTGGGTCATGAACTATGAGTGCTATCCCGGAATTCGAGCACCAGCCGGCCCGAACTGTCAGAGGTGGGCCTTTTTCTTCCGTGGCGTCAAAAACATCGACTATTTGAACTTGATTGGTTTCAATCGTTGAAACCTGGTTGGAATTGTAGTAAGCTGTTCCTGCGTCTTTAAAAAATTCTTGTAAATGCCGTCTTTACTAGTTTGATATTTGTACCTATTTATCTATATCTAACTGATGACGGCGGGTATAGCGTCAAGTAGCGCCTGTCATACACGAATGGTTCGGGTGGTTCCGGCTTGATAACCGCTCAGACAGTCTAGGCCTTTTATCCCTCCCGGATCGGTTAAATGGTACCGGATTCGTCTAGGAGGATAGAAACACTGGCTTGCACATTGGCTAGCCACCGTTACTCATCATAGGGCCGTTCACACAAATTCGTTACCATAGTAAGATTCTGAGCGGGACTCGAACTCGTGGCGCATCCCAGAAGCGAGATTGATTAACGCCAGAGGATTGGTTCTTCATATTTCATCTGATCTGGCAATCAAGTGTGAGTTATTTCGTCAGGTATGAACATAGAGCCGTGTTGTGAAAATCTGCTATGACATCAATGGAGGGCTTTTAAGATAGCAAAGGGATTAAACCCTCTAATTGAATTCGGATCATTCTTAACAAATGACAAATGTAATGACAGTGGTTGCTTCAATAATCTAGCTGCCTTTATTTTGAATTGAATTAGATTTCTACCAGTCAAAACAATCAGTTGTCTCTAATTATAGCTCGATTGTACTTGGTGAGGGGTTAGTTTAACTGCTCAGCAACATGGTAGCACATTTCCTTAGAAAATAAAAGCTTCAACTTTTTAACCAACTATGATTTTTCCTTCATATAATTATGTTTTACTTCCAAGTAGTCTATTGTTTTAGCAACTCTAAGAAAGCTCCGTTGTTTTCTTTCTGAATGGCTGAAAGGAAAAAACGGAAATTTGAAACCGTCTTAGGAAAATGTACTGTTAGAGCAGAACTCCTTTGGTAAAAGAAGGAATTTTCAATCAGAAGTATTTGCCACGGGTTTTAGCTGAGAGAAAAAGGGCCATTTCTGAAAGCAAGTAAGGATTTGCTCCATTGGACCCGCGGTTTCTTCTTTTGATGTGTTTTTAAGTTGTTGGGAAGTGTGAGTGTGAAAGGAACGGATTCGTCACATCAACTTGCTGTTCACATTCCCGTCGAGGTCACCGATTGAGGGACACTGCGCAGTCCATAAATCGCCCGTACATATTTTTTTAGACGAAGGTTGACAAATGTTTCAGGCTACAGGGCCACAGAGGAACAAACCACTCACTAAACGGAATATGGGAAATTCTGATTGCTTGATATTAAGTTGACTGTTATCTGATTCTTAGGAATGCCCAGAGAGCTTTTCACCAATGTTGTTTGTTATACAGCCTTTCATACCAATACTACATTCCGAACTCTCTAGAAATCGCTTTGAGGTGCTCAGGAGGTAATATCAACGAGAGGAACATTACCCTTTTGAGCACGTGGCTAATCGACCGCTCGGTCCTGCCACTTTCGGGGAAGCTATTTTGAATGAAGCAGCCGAGGGGGACCATATGTACTTCGGGACTTATTTTTGTTTATTGATTTGTTTGACTACCTGTTAACTGATTGATTAAATAATTTATTTATCAAGCTATCTACTATCTTCTTATCTCTTCACTTGTTTATTTATCTGTTTACTATTTACCACAAACTTTCTGGTTCTATAGTTTATTTATCTGTGTACTATTTACTACAGATTTTCTGTTCTATATGAAATTTACCGAGGGAAGATAGGCTTACAATAGCTCGTCCCAGACTTAAATTTTTAGTCACGCGCCCGAAATTTGAGGTCTATTTCTGTGGGACTGAAGGTGGGAAATAAATGATGGGAACTGAAGGTGTGGGCAACGAAGAATTAGCATTCCTCCGTTTCAGTGGCTATTCCCTATACAGGACTGTTTTGCAGCAGCAAGCTGTCAACCCAACAGGTTGTCTTGATGCAGTCGAGCAGTTTCGGGACCACCTTCTGGTGTGGTTCGGTGATCCTCTTCGGCGATTCATGTGGTCATCTGGGCCGAGTTCGCTCACTACGTGTCCATCTGTTCCATGGCAATTTCGCGCGCTTGACAATACGGCTGATCCGTCATAAAACGGTTGACATCACGTCGTCGCTTTAATTACCCGTACCCGTTGCAATCTTAGAAGCAACATATGATCGTCAGGGCAATTACAATGACATCGACAATATTGTTAGGGTAGAGTACGATGTGGTGGCAGACTGCTGATTTGATTGCTACATGCAGGGCCCTTTTAGGAAAACCTTTTCAAGTGAAACAACAGAAATAAGCCATGTTTCTGACCACAACTTGAATAAATTATTATTATGTCTGTTCATCTTATCTACCTATTTATTTATTTATTTATTTTAGAGTACTGAATGTTCTCGAGCTGAACTGGTATTCTCTCTGTGAGTCGTTCATTCCCCATGGCGTAAAACATAACCGTAGTCCGTCAGAGGGCTGAAAGGGTTTCCAAACTTTTTGGAATAGTTCTTCATCCCCTTACACTCGACCCAAAACAGCTCTTAATATTTAGTTGTAAGTCAGAATGATGAACCTAATCTTTCTTCATCTGTTTACCTACTTACTTAATTACTATTCATTAAATAGTCGTGAGTTCAGTGCACCATATTCAATAGTAGATGCTGATGAGTCGTTAGATTCATTTCTAAATGGATTAGGACACGTTGAAGATGGAGGAGAGAGACCACAATTTGGGGAGAGCAAATAGGAACTCAAATTTTACAACGATCTTTCGCGAGAATATCACTCCGTCTCTGTCCTCATAACCAACCCGGTTTCTCTGCTTGGGTATTGCCCGGTTTCGGTTGGAATAGAATAATATCTGTGACATTAGTTATGTGATAATGGTTATTTCTCAGCATTTCTGATTTTAACTGACTTTATTTCTTCGAGCACCTCTTTCATTCCTTTATTCACCTAGCAGTTTATAGCATGCAAAGCGTCATGATGGTGCAAGAAACTGATCACCTAAATAGCTAGTTGCTCAGGACTCTAAGCACCGTAGAAATGCACAGACCTACTCGGTAGTCACCAGAGTCTTTACGATTTGTCTACTAACTAATATTATATTATAAATATCATAATCTATTTAAAAGAATTCTGGCTACTACAGCTCTATCCCGACTTCATCTAGCTTTGATCAGGTTAACCTACAGAAACTTAGAGCCGGAATAGGTTAATAGACTCAAATGAGGGTAGCCAACCAATGTTTCCAAGGCGCACTACTCCTTTTTGCCCAACCTAGAATTCTGTGGCATATTTATTCACGTGTTGTAAGCGGACTCAGCTCAAGAAAGAAAATTACTCATACTTAAATAATTGACAAAATCAATGTCAATAAATCAAGTAGCTTACATAAATGAGTATTCAACCCTTACGGTAGCTCTTAGGCGGAAAAAAGATCCTTCGAGCTTGAATAATTTGAAGTTCGACGAGTAGATCTTTTTGTTGCCTCCCTCTCGGAAAGTAGCTAGATGTGGCATGGCAGTCCTCAAATCTGTAGATGGGCCTAGCAGCCACTGTTATCAGAGAGAAATTAGTTTTTAATTTTCTTGCTCTGAAACTATTCGCTCAAGGTGGACACAGAAATGTCGACTCGTTTGGAAGCCTCTACCCGACTATACTCCTGCAGATTTCAATGTCATGTCTCCACAACCATTGGTACGAGGACAGTTTTACGGATACGATGCATTAGGTACGTACAGGAATCCGCTGAAGAAGCTACTAAAGATGTGCCTTCATTTATCGTCCCTTTTTTGTAAAGACGTCGGCAAGCTAATAGAAATTGTGGTAGAGTGGTTATTGTAAAAAGAATTGTTTTTAAGGTAATTACCGTACATTCGCTCGCCCACGCGATCATGGTGTGTCCTTTTATCGCGGTACAAACACTGTACTTGTTGATTGGCCTGAAGGTTTGTTATGGTCTGAAATTCCCTCCCAGATAGAGCTATTTCCAAAAAATCCAATGAACTGAAGTCAGGCCTTTTAAGGAAAAGTCGCTGGTGCTACCGGTATTGAGGTACCAGCCGCTGGCGTCAATATTGTCTACAACGCTTATGATATAGGATTTCCTAACCCTCAACGAGCCCTTCGAGAGCTCACCAAGTGAGGGTCCTCCTTCTTAATATATTGTCAATTTGCTTAATACCATGCCTTTTTTCAGGGACAATCCTGACCCATTGAATCCCGGAACTGGACGGAAGATGAGCGCTTTAGCGCTGTTCAAACGGATTTGATAGTGTCTTAAAGAGGAAATAAAGATGTCAAAATCCGTTTTGTATGTCAGGTGTCAGGCGTCGGCCGCGTCTCGTCGGCTCGCCTTTTTCACGTCTAAGAGCGCTGCCGCTTTCAATTTTCACTCACGTTCCTCTACACTCTATTCTGGCAGCATTCGGCTGCTGCCTCTCTAATTGAGTATTGTGTCGTCTTGAGCCTAGCAATCAGCCACAAGGCTTTATGACTCGGTTAACTAACATGTTTATCGCACTTGACCTAATATTTGTGCATTTTCGATTACGGTAGTTTCGTGAAATGTGCATTCTCTGGGGGATTAGGAAAACTGCAAAAATATAAGACCATTCTGTAATGGGTAACACGACGTAGATGTGTTAGGGAAGCATCATCATCATGTCTAAGCAGACAGAATGGCGTCGGCTTGGGAATATGCTTGCAGTTTCATACGTCCCATTAGACGATTGGGCTGTTGATCCGACTGTCGGCTGCGGGCGTAAAGCCATACCGCCGCCTTACTGTCTGTCCGGCTATGCATGTGAGCGGGTTAGGTGTGTGTGTGTGTGGATGATGTGAGTGTGAAATCACTCAGCCGAACTAAATCTTCCTCTTCGAAGTTTTCACAGCCTACCGCCAGCCTACCCAACGGACGCGAACACATTCCATCAGAAAGCCCCGCATCGGATCTCTTTTTTCCGTGAGCCGCACCCGTTACGCGGCCACCTTTTGATACTGTGTGAAAACATGAAACGAAGATGATCATGAAATGTCGTAATCCAATCATAACAGGGAGGAAATGCATGAATGGCAATTCAAAGTATAATACACTACTTTCTAAACCTACTACTTTATCAACGATTGTTATTGCCATTGCAAAGCGAGACGGTTGTAGATGTGGAAAGCAAGTAAAAAGTGTCAGACAGAAATCGTTTAGTACGCGTGGCCGGTCGTTTGAGTGATTGCGCGTTGGGGTTCTGGCACTGTTGGCTACTGGTTTTGTCTTAATTACTTCAACAATGACATTCGGATACTCCCATGTCCTCAGATTTGTTCAGAATAAAATCTGAGGAGAAACTGATCGGCAAGGGAGCCTATCGGGAGCAACCTCCGAAATGTTTTTAGACGGGTTCCAGCTGACTTCCCGGGAAATCTCCAGTTATCAGCTGGAATCGGTGAACTCAAAACAATCGGTGAGGGAAAGAAATGATTGACATGACATTGTCTGTGATGAAAATGGACTGATTTCGCGCATAGACCTCCTGCTGCTTGCGGCAGTTCGTAAAGACCGCCGAGCGCACGCCCGTCCACTACCGTAACCTTTTGCGCCCTGATTGGCTAGTACCGCCCGGCTCCGCCCCCAGTAAGTATTCGCTTGAAATTAGCGGGTCTCACTAAATAGTGTCCCGTCATTGAAAATTTGCACCAGCCTTGTGTCAGTATTCCCCTATACGTGTAATGCCTCGTCCCGGAAAAGACTCCTATGACGAACAGGTTGGGTTTACCTATTACCTACTACATCCGTTTACTACCTTTTACTATTTACTGCTTATTGCTGTACTCTGGGACTTCTTTTTTGTCCAAAATGTGGCTTTAGAACAATTTTTCTCCGTTCAGAAACCACCATATTCCTATATCTGGTTGACTTATATGGCAATCCAGAATTCTGAAGAAAAAATGCTGCCATTAACTGAAATCTATAAGTTTATAATGGATAAATTTCCGTTCTATCGGAAAAATACTCAGAGGTTCTGTCAAACGTTTTTATTTTTCCAATTCTGAATTGTATAAATTTGACAGTCCGATTATGAATCATTCAGTTCCAGATGGCAGAACTCATTGCGGCATAACCTTTCATTTAATGACTGTTTTATCAAAATTCCACGAAGACCGGATCGACCAGGAAAGGTAGGCAACCACCGTACCATTCAAATGTATGAAAAACTGATAGAGATGCAATAACCCGGAAATGGATGTCATTTGAGGTCTTTGCAAAGTTCCTTTATTTTCTTAAAGAGCCTCCAGGGTAACACAGAATAAAATTAGCTTTCAAGTGACTCTAGGTTTTCATAAACAAAATTTTTTAGAATCCAAAAATTATGACATAAAATTAAACACCCTGAGCCTTCCGCGATTTTGCTCCTATTTTATCTATGTCACTACTTTTGCTGCTGAGCTTCTCAATAATTGAAAGTAAGTGGTAATAACTAAGTAAATGAACCGTTAGAAGATGAAGTTTGTAGCACTAGTTCCCAAATTTGTCACCCACTTGAGGACGTTCCCAAAACTGACGAGAGCCAAGAGCGCCATCCTGGTGGTCAGGAGTTTCCTCCAATGATTAGGTCACTCTTGATTATGTATTCATAAGAGGCGTCGTCTCGTGGAGGAGGGAGAGGATTGATGTAGAGCAACATACCAAACTGCTATGTGCCATATCCGATAGTTATCCATTAGAACTTTATTTTCAATCCTCCCTTTTCAATGGGCACTAAGTCTTCCTTAGTGAGAAATTCTGGCTATAAAGTTAACTAGACTAATTGGAGAGTATTTTTTCTCACTTTAATCCAATATGATGCAATCCGGGAGCCATTCCGAGAGTGAACGGCTTTTCAATTTGAATACCTAACTGTTACCCACTACTCTGTTTGTTAAAAATGAGCATTTCTGTCATTGTCACTTTGTCAAGAACATTCGAAAAAACTATCTTCCAAATCTTTGGATAAGCGCGTCTAATTGAGCAGCGCACTTAACGATACTGCGGATTCGTTGAATTACGTATGTACTTCACTATGAATTTTATTGGGGCTCCCAGTAAGATGAGGATCTTTGGATGGAACCTTAACATTTGAAACATAAGCAAAATCTGCGAGTGGAATGGGAGGGTGCGGTTAATTAGAAGGGACATGTGAAAGATTACCAACTTGCTCCTTTTTAAATGTCTTTGATCTTCTATTGAGATCCAATTTTGAGTAGTAAAATTGTAGCTATAGCTTGTATTCTTAATATGCCTTCCGACTACTGCTCTGCTTCCTCAGTTATGCGATAAGCATAAATAAACAGACCTCCTTATCTCTGTCAATAGCTATCCACTTCTGTCTTGTGTTCCACACTTTCGGGAAGAGTCTCTGTAAGGCAGCTCGAAAGCAAGCTCTACCTCACCTCTCAAAAAGTGGATTACATTTTTAAACACCTTTTGAAAGCAAGGAAGGGGTCACTGTGGGATACACGGTCAAAAAAAAGTTTATTTTGTCTGGGAGTGGAAGGAAGGCTGTAGAGGGATTATTGCGGGTAGTTGTAAAGCAGATCCAAGTGAACACCAAGCGGAACCGTTAAGGGGGAACTAAAAAGACCGCTTTGCTGCTTCAATATTTTGCTATCGATCGACCTAACTGGTTCTCAGAAGAGTGATAGTCAATTGCACATATATAGTTTGAGAGGTTTGGTTGGTTAACCACTCATGGCCGTGAGCAAAAACCATTTATTATTTATTTTTTTTTTGATTCATCAAAACTTCTGTAAACAAACATTTGTAAACATTACCTGGGTGACCCATGCTTCCGAGTAAGCAGCCTCGGTTTGTAAACCTCAACGCAGTACGCTAGTACTGTATTCATATTATTGANAGAGTTCATTACAGTAAACTACTCATACAGACGATGTTACTACTTATTTTCAATCGCTCCCAATTGATATAGTGTAATATAGACGGGAATGGAAAGGGTTGATCACTGACGTCCCGACTTCCCCTTTGCCGCTCCCATCAGCTACAGTATACCGTACGAAGATGTAAAACAAAGAATTGGTGAAGGGGCACGGAAACCCGTTAATGAATGTTCGATTACCTTCGTTGTCGACGGAGAATCAATAACCGATTCAAATGTGTCGGCAAATCGAATGACTTTTGAGTTGGGAACGGGCAGGATTGGATAGGTTATTTGTGAAGGAAAAAACTCGAGTACTCTCAGTTTTGATAAGTCCTCAATTCTATCCTCAATGGAGCAGAGCTCCAGCGTATATCTTGGATAACTCGTCAATGGATGACAATAAAAGGTAGCAAGAGGAGGGTTGTAGTAGCAGAACCCTCAAAGGACCACCATAACTGGTCTTAATTCACCACAGAATCCGAGTAATTTATTGTCTGCTTTATACAATCTTTTTGGAAGAAAAAACATTTTGTGCTCATGCGTTATCGGCCTGATACGAATGAAAGCTGCTGAAAAGAAATAGATAATAAAAAATTGGAAGGACTAGAAATTGAAATATGCTGCAAAAAAATGGGCAAGAATACCTACGAAGTCCTTTGATCGGCTTGAAGCCCCTGTACGAAGTTTTCTCCGGTAAAGTTTGGATATAGAATCTCCATTAGAAGGCAGTTAGTCTAGTTGAACCTTTAGAAAAAAGGTGCTCATGAGTGAGGGTCGGGTGTCAGGGTTAGCTACACGACCTCATCTTCTCCCTACTCACGCTCGCCAGAAGGCTAGNCCTTTGATCGGCTTGAAGCCCCTGTACGAAGTTTTCTCCGGTAAAGTTTGGATATAGAATCTCCATTAGAAGGCAGTTATCTGTTGGAACCTTTAGAAAAAAGGTACTCATGAATGAGGGTCGGGTGTCAGGTTATCTGCACGACCTCATCTTCTCCCTACTCACGCTCGCCAGAAGGCTAGGTAGAGGACTGAAGTATTGTGAGAGGAGATATAAACCGGGAGTTCATACCCGTGCCTTTCTCGAGGGATGTAGTGGTGCTGATGGGGCCAGTCTCATGATTCTCGAGTATGACCCATGCTGCAATCATTCCCAATCGGGAATCACCCCTTCACCCCCTTCGCCCTCCTCCCCCTCTCCCAGCCCTTCATTCCATGTCTTTACTGTAGTGACTATCTCTAATCTGTTCCCCTTGACTTCAAAATCTTCAGAATCTTCAAACACCAACATAATAAAAAGAAGCTAAGGTCAAATGTCATCGCTGTACACCTACACTTGGTCTCGATCATTTCTGAAGTTCGAGACAGCAGTGAGGGNGGGCACCCATAGAGCCGTTTGGTGATTTTTTCTAAATCGCCTGCGAGATATTTTCAAATTTCTTCGATCCATCCATCTCTACTAAGTGGTGGACGTACCCAGGCTGGCTTTATTCCTATATCAAATTAATTTGAGCAAAGCAATTTCAATTGTGATGTGTACTAACCGAGCGTGATTGACTATGTCAGACATTATCTTAAAAACGGTGGAAAAACCGGTTTTTAGGCTAGCCAGGCTTAAGATCATCCACACTGTCGAAACAAATGCGGATCTCTATCATGAAGAGAAATATCAAAGCTTTACACGAGCTTAATCGACTATTCATCGTCAGAGACCCATAGATTACAGTTATGTCGAAGAGTTGATCCAGTCACTACGACGACCGGCTTTTCCCCGTAAATCTATCAATGATTGATTGGACATGACCCTACCAAACAGCCAAACTTGGGGTTTTTTCGAAGTCCTCTTGCTAAACCTAAGGGGGCCTCAGAGACCTTTTATTACAGTTCTCTTATCTTATACTATCAGTATTACCTCGAATGGCCCTTCCCCGTTTTTTTGTCAGACGATGTGCGCGTTTGTGTGCCGAGCGATACGGTAGACGATCCAGTCGTACTCGTTTAAGTGATACGTAGAGTGCATTGACATAATTGTATATGTGTTCAATTAGAGTGGAATTTGGCGTCTGTATGATACAAGTGTGACTTCCTTCGATGGCATTACCATCAGTGATTGAGAGAGAACGGCGTCATTACTGATCTGATGTTGTCAGTCTCCTGACCTGGTTCCTATTAACGAGTTTTCCGCGACTAGGATCGGGTTCGACATATCCTGAAGTCAACTCTGGATATAAGGACCTCGTTAAGGTCGTATGACTGACGAAATGGCATAGATAGCCCTACATAATCCTCTGAATATTAGCGAAGATGGATTAGCCTCAGCAGTATCCCTACCCACTTTTCCAATTCATCCGCTGAAAGGAGCCCAAATCGATAATCTTTGAAAGTCAGACTTTTCCTTCACCATGATCGATTCTCAACTGTACTTGATGAGAATCTGAAGTCTCAAGCTTTTTGGCGTTGGTTAACCCCAGTTGCGGGATTCCCCTGTAGTAGACCTAAACTCGGATTCGTAGCCGTAAGTGAATGGGGTATTGGAAGTGGGCAATGTCTCGTGGGTCCAGTCGGTGTACGAACTCAGTGCGTTTCTTCCTCCCTGGCGACCACGGTATCAACCAGCCAAGCTGGAGGAATGGATGAGTTAGGTAGTCTAGGCGGGTGTTGGTTAGGAGTTTTGAATCCCTATCATTTGTGTGGTAGCGGGCCGTATGGCACTTCACCACCGTATCACTCAGTACCTAATTTATTTGAGTAACGAAGAAATTGGTGATTGCCTCATGCAGGTCCCTGCGAACTACAATGTACACCAAAGAATTGTTCAAGTGCCACTACAGTTCTCTGTTGATGGCGAGGGTAATCAATTGGTCACGCCTCGACAATATCAATCGACACCCAGAGCTTCATCCTTTTCTCTCATATCAACATGACTTTGAAACTCGCAAGGGGCCGCTATTTCTTCAAATCTGCAAGAGACCGCGATTCCATCAAAGGCATATGTGAACTCATGCGGTTATGGTCTATTCTCAGATGAACTCATGTATCTTGTCATGGGTAACGTGCAGTGGTCTCACTACCAAACATCAAATAAAGCAAGATAACTAACTAAAACTGCCGCGCGCGATGAACGGGTCTGGACTACTGCTCCACACCCTTTCTTCTCGTAGACTAATCATAGGCGTGATTAGTGCAAAGCTTAGAATTGAAAATCCGGGAGCGGTTTGGCTACAGTTTTTATCGAAACAACAACTTAGTTCAGAACCTTCCCACACAAATCTTTTCTCCTGCTGTCCATGTTCGACAGATTGTGTGTTGATTTCAAACTTTAGTGGTTTTTTACATCAATTTGGAAGCTTCATGTACTAGGCAGTACTCTTTGAGCCAATGTTTTTGAAAAAGTATTTATGGAATGGGTCACCTTATCGGTTAGCAGACGGTAATGGAAAATTCGAGCTACTGTGGAGGCCAATCCGAAGAGGGACGGACCATCCGAGGATACGCGCAGCGATGTTCGTGACGATTTGAACAACTTTAGCGCCTATGATTGGGGCCAAATTTGAAGTAGATTTTAGGGATTGGCTGACCCTACTGAACTACTCAACTTCAAGTTCGTGCCCCTATAATATGCGCCAGATTCGTTCGAATCGCCACCAAACTTCGCTGCACAATTTGCCGCGCGCATCTCCGGCCGCACGTATGTGCCCATAACCCAATCCTAGGCCTATGTTCACTGCAGCATTTCAGGAAACAGAATGCTCTTAAACTCAATGGGATTGAATAGATTGATAAAATTAGGACTAGAAATCGTAAATGAACATTGACACTTACAAAGACTTCTAGAAAAACAGATAAATTAGTCAAAATCCAACCAACCATCATATGACATGAATATACCCATAGTTTTTGCACTGATAGTCGATATCACTACCACTTTCAGATCCGTGATGAATGTGGCGAAGAAGAGGGTCCACCGGCAAAGTTACCGTACGTATCAACATTGCCGTGGCTTTCAAATAACTGTTTTCCGTTACCACAATTGCCCACGGCCGCTTTTACGCAACCCGATCCGACGGCGGCAGCGATGATGATGAATCCGTTCATGCTTTTGGTCCCTCAACTATTTGGTCATCTTGACCTATCAATGTTTACCAAACCCTCACCACCTGCCACACCTGGTAATAATTCGTTTTCTATTGAAGCATTATTAAGTTCTTAATGTTATTGAAGCCTTTGAATTGATGATTCTGATTTCGTAATGTACTCGTGTGATGTACACTCGAGAACATTTGTAAACAATGTACATTTGTTTTCTCTTGGTGACCTAATCCGAATGATAATTTTAGTTGATATTTTAGAGAGATAATAGACGTTAACTATGTATTCCGGAGGAATTTTGCTCTCGCATTCGTGATCATGTTTTAAATTATTTTTGTTTACTAACCCTACTAACACCATTTGAATAGTTGTGATGTCTGTGTGGAATGCAAACTAATTACTACCAAATTTGAATTTCTTTTTGTTATTCATGTATTTTATTGTATTTGTGCATCTAAACCGGCAAAGATATCTATTGATGTGCACAGGCTGATACAGCGCCTTAATAAAATAAACCTAATCATAAAATTCGGGATGATAGATGGCAGTAGATCATGAGTACTGTTACAATGCGCCGTGTAGTCGACTTCGGTCCAGAACCATACCTAAGTTTGCGTATTCTGACCAAGCATGGGATCGAGGAGCGAGCGGGTCAGGAGGTGTCAGCGTGGTCGCACTGCTCACGACCGAGCTGACGCTTCCTGACCCACTCGCTGCCTCAAGACGCACGGCGGCCTCTTAGTCATGATCGGGAGATCAAATACCGGATCGATGAAAGCTTAGATCAAAGAAGCCTCAGGAACCACTTGCCATTAGTACCTAAAAGTTAAAAGCACTGACTTGTTCGTCAGCTAGCCTGTAGGCAACCAGTGTAGTGAATGGCGTAGTCTCTTTCCAAAACGGGACTGATCAACGCCGAAAAATGCTTCATGTCGAACTTCAACAAGAAGATCCTTTCGATTTCTCTTTGTCTTCTCAAAGCATGCACTTCGTGCTACTTGTCGTTGCTTCCTTCTTAGAATTGTGACTGCTACAGAAAAGAGCGTACAGAAGTTACAGGAACTATCCAAGTTCCCTATGTTTTTGAATTTAGTTCATCCGGTTGGATTAATTAGGAAGAGCTTTGGCCTCATCTTTCCAGGAATGTTGGGCTAAAACAATGCTATACCTGATGTCATATACAACAGAAGAAATGCCCTTTGTTTAACGCTTGACAAACTCACAAACGAATAGGTTCCAGCTGATATTTGTCGGCGTTCTGTCCACTTGACTTGAATATGGACAGGCGAAGTTTTAATTAATAGCTTGAACGCTCCTTTGAATCCCTTCATTACAAAGTGCAATGCTAAATTCATCAAATGAAATATTCCATGCAAGTAGAAGGCATGAAAAATATCTATGCCATTCTAGAGAAATGTTCATAATCAAACTCGCTTCCTGGAATGAAATAGCGTTAGAAAATGTACTTTACTCCTAGGCGCATTTATACTTTGCGACTTTGTAGCTGGGATTCGCAACCACATAAAAGTGCCATGACAAAACTTGACCTACGAGATCATTCTGCACGTCTTCGTGTTGTTCAAGTGTGATCGCTCCTTGAGATTCTGTAATGTTCGTCATCTGTTCATTGGGAATACTCCTGTAATGTTCGTCATCTGTTCATTGGGAATACTCCTTCAGTAGGGCTTCTCTTTCGTTTGATTTTCTTTGTTCATCCCTTTCTTTTTCTTTTCCCTTCCATTTTATTCCGAATATTGATATTACTCGTATCTTTTTTCTTTTTATGGTCTTCGATATGTCGATATTAAAAACTACACTATGCAAAAAGAAAAGAAAGAGAGGGGAAGACGTGGTTGCCAGCACGCCGACGAATTCGCAAACGATCGTGCTAGGAGCCGGGGGACCACAACGTTTTATGGATATGGCGGCTTGCGATCGATCGACAGGTTTTGTATGAACAGCCTCCGGTTAAGATTAGAATAAAAGTGGCCAGGGAGTTTTGTTTTCCTTCAACTCTTAACCTTGAAAATGTCTTCAATACACATTTATCAATCGATGCTCGGTGCTAACTGAGTTGGGAGGGGCCACGCGGCGGCGCGGCGCCTTTTCATGTCTACGCCCTCTCAGGCGAGATAGTAGTACTGGGCCTGAGTCTGGGAAGGATGGTGAGGTTGTACTGAAGTGTTTCGTGATTCAAAACAAATTACCTCTTGGCACATGTTATATGCTTGCATATTATGGATACTCTTCTTCTGAGCCGATGAAACCCTATTTTTAAGAAGGGGAGGGGCTCCGGGGTGGGTGAGATGGTTATCTCGTGCAAAAAGCTGAGATG